AACGGGGAGCGGCAGGAGAAAGGGTCTAGGGTTTGGTTTGGTAGTGAAGGAGAAGAGAGAGAGAGAGAGTAATTGTATTCGCGTAAAATGCAATAAGAAATCACGTAGGCATTATATAGGCCCTGCCCCAACTCCACGGGACTTCAAGTCCCGTGGAGTTGCAGACTGAATTCTAGAGAGTGATGCTCTCTAGAATTTCAGCCTGAAACTTCACGTGACTTGAAGTCCCGTGAAGTTATAAGCTTCATGGGACTTCAAGTCCCGTGAAGTTTTGTGCCTCCTAATCACGTTTGTTATGGGGCTTAAACTTCATGGGACTTCGAATCCCGTGAAGTTTTTTAACTTTTTTCGTCAAATTCGACCCAGTTTCAGCCAGTTGGCTGAAACTGGGTCGAATTTGATAAATAATTTCTAAATAAGTTGTTTTTGGCAATTAAGTTTCTAAATAGGTCGTTTTTGAAAATTTGTCCTATCTTTTTTCTATCCGATTTTGGTCCGAGGATTTTATCTCCCTAAATTAACCTTCTATTTTCTTAATTTTCCTGATTTTTAGATGGTTAGATGTAATTTAACATATTCATTTTATTAAATCTGCCTCATATTATTACTATCATTATTTCTAAGTTAAGTGAACAATAAATGCTTTAAGGAAAAGACAAGCATATATATATATAAATAATCAATTAATACTTTGTCTGCGGTGAATAAAGAATCAGCAGAAGAGGAAGAACCAAATTCAAACCGAGGGAGGATATAGATATAAGGTTTGTTTCAGTCAAAACCTATTTCGAATTAATGAGAGTGCTTTGCTACAGGGACCCAAAATATGAGATTAATAAATGGGACAAGTGATGTGTTCCCCTCCTATTGGATAATGAGTTGGTCATCATTACTGATGGCCAACTCATTATCCAATAGGAGGGGGACACCTCACTTGTCCCCCCCTATTAGTCTCATATTTTAGGTCATTGAGGATTTTTTCTTAATGATATCTTATGACTGTACTTGCCCTTTGATTCATGGCTATGTAATGTTTGATGAAATGCCTGAACATTGTCAGTCAATTAATTTATAATGGGGATTTATCGTTTTCTTGAATCCGAGGTAGAATTTGTTGATTAATCTTACGCCTCGTTTGGTATGTGGGAATGAAGTCAAGTGAGAATGGAATGGAATGGAATGTATGTGAGAATGGAATGGTCATTCTCATTCTCTTGTTTGGGTGCGTTTGTAGAATGAAGCTAGAATGAAAATCTAATTCCCATTCCCATGTTTGGTATCACTAGTTCACAAGTGAGAATAGAATCTCATTTTCTAATAATGCCCTTATAACAACATAGATTTTTAATAAGATAAAAATAAACATTAATGATATTCACTAAAAAAATTTATTTATGCATATGTTATATTAATCTAGGCATGTGTTATACTAATGCGCATGTTATCGATCATGTGTATGTTTCGTTTATATTTTTTAAACAATTCTCACTATTTCTACATATGTTATATTAATCTAGATATGTGTTATAATAATGCCCTTATACCTCTATATATAGTCTAGACATGATATGGTTTTGATAATTTTAATATTTTGGCTAATTTCTCAGCGAGAGTTTCCTCTTTTCATAAATATTGGGTCAAATATTTTTCAATTAAAAGTTAGATTTATTGTTGTGCATGAACCACAACCAAACATGTACGTAATGGGTACATCTAGTTCTCTATGATGGGAAAACAATAGCAAAAGTTCAAAAAGAATATAATATGCCGATGAAAATAACAGATTTTAAACATTGGTGAATAAACAAAAAAAATTTGATTGACCAAAAAAAATATTGACATGAAAGAATTTCAATCGGCAAATAATATATAGTTTCAGTTAGAGGATGTTGTAGACAATTCCCTCAACTTTCAAAATATGACTAAACCCCTCCTAATTATGGATTGTCTCACAAAACCCCCTTTATTTTTCTAGTTTTTCTTAAATACCCCCATAATATTATTAGTTTATAATATGCAATGACTAAAATACTTTTGGTTGAAAAAAATCATGTGAGTTTAAAAACCCAACCCAATCAAAATATTAGATTTCGGTTCGATGGTCTTTGACAAGGAAACTAATATTTTAAAAAAATTTAAAAGTTTTAATTGTTTCAAATATTACAAGCATGAATAAACGAAAAATAAAAGAAGTTTAGCGCTTCAAAAAAGAAAGGAAAAAAATATATATTTGCACGTAAACCCAGAAATGAAGATGGAGAAACAAGAAGAGGGGGGAAATAAAACAAAAGTTATTTTTAACTAAATAAAAGCTAAAAAAGAACACTATAGTAAAAAAATTTACTATACTAAAAAAAATTAATGTCTTAGGGTCATTTTCAAGCATGTGTTCCTTTAGAATTAAATTATATTAGTTAAGGGGGTTAAGTGAGCAAAGTTGAGGGGGATAAATAATATTTTGAAAATTAAGGGGGTTATTTACAATCTCTGCATAATTGAGGAGTTTTTCTAGAGTTAAAATAGTTAAGAGAGATTTTCTGTGGGATCCCCATAGTTGAGGGGGTTTGTCTAAAATTATCCCGAAGAATTAAGTGACTTATATTGCATTTAATTACTTACATACAAATTATTTAACTGCAAACTGTGCTTCGCGAGGATCTAGAGACTAGAATTTGGAAGTTACGGGGGTTACCTCATAATCAAACAAAGTTTTTTTTTTCAGGCTGGTGATGGTGATTGTGGTTTGGTGACTTTGTAGCCTTTATTTTTTTCTCTAGAAAATCCAGAGTTATCCACTACAAAGAAAGGCGCTAAGGGGCTGTTTGGTTCCCTGTTTTTGAGGGGAATGCTCTCTTGAAAGCCTGCCAAAAGTGTCACTTTTTGGGCAGGCTTTCAGCCAAAATCTTCTTTTTTAGAGGCGATTTTGGCTGAAGCTGCCAAAAAGTGACACTTTTGGCAGCTTTCAAAAGATTCTTTCCCTCAAAAACAGGGAACCAAATAGCCCTTAAGGGGCTGTTTAGTTCAATTTCTATAAAAAAAAAAGAAAAGTACTCAAAATTCGTTTTTTTATTTTTATAAAATTTGTAGGAAAAATTTATAGAACTCAAAAGAGTATCATATTTCTTGTTTTTTTGCTATTTTTTTTGTTTGGCTCAAAGTATGAAATAATTTCTAACTTTATAGAAAATATGTTGTTTTCTTTTTCTTTTGTTTGGGTGGATGTCACTTTATAGAAAATAACTTACTAACAATGCTCATGAGAAATCACATAGGAAATGTACTGATGTACTTAATTATTTTTTAATATATGCGTCAGATTTCTAGGTGATTTTCGCCAATTTGAGCGGAAATTGATTTCCATAAAATGAAGTACTTTTCTTTACTTTATAGAAAACTTTTCTATAATTTTTTTTAAAACCAAACACAGTTTATAAAAATTTTCAAAAAATTTTTATTTACAAAACTGCCACTATCAGCCATTTTCTATAAACCCACTCAACCAAACAACCCCTAATGCTAAACCTACCACCCACACATGGGGCCAAGATGTCAGTGTCTGAGTGTGAACTATGCATTCAATCTATTTCTCTAGAATAATGAGAGGATTCAAGAATCACTATCCATGTTAATTAAATGATACAGTAATTCACTATAGCATGTTTAAAAGGAATACTACTGTAGCATAGGGGGAGATACTGTAACATAATTTTAAAAAAAGCACAGAAGTATTTTTAAATATACTACTGTAGCAAAGATGAGATACTGTAGCATTTTAAAAAAATATCTCGGTAACATTTTAAAAAAAAAATTACTGTGTCATTTTGAAAAATACGGCTGCAATTAAAACGGGATTAGTGTAGCAAAAAAAAAAAGAGGGATGTCTCTAGTTTATTTGAGTAGAAAATTGCCCTATCGTTGCCCCTACCCAATTCTGGGTGCGATGAACAAATGTACAGCCTGAGGTCCGGAGCCCGCGCCATGCTATTATCCCCCCTTCGCCTCTCTCAACTCCTCCTCGTCCCCAAAATCTCCCTCTCCTCCTCCATCCCACTTTCATTTCCTTCCCAAAATACCCCTGCCGGTCACTCCCCCTTCTCAAACTCTTCTCTCCCCTCCACCTCAACACCAAGGCGTCAGTCGCTCGTATTCTCTATCTCCTCTCCGTCTCGAGGCGTCGCTTCGATGGCTGACGAGACCGTGACGTACCTCTCGCAGAAAGAGGCGGCGGAGATCGACGAGATCCTCATGGGTCCGCTTGGATTCAGCGTCGATCAGTTGATGGTTTCGATTCTTTTTCTTCGATTAAATGGACATCGAATTTAGTTTTTTTTAATTTTGATTTTCTTTTTTATTTGATTGTGGTTGTAGGAATTGGCGGGATTGAGCGTGGCCACGGCTATCGCTGAGGTATTTTCGATTCTATATTAGTTCCATTTTTAGTTGTTTCAGCTCAGATTTGTGTAATTAGTTGAATACTCGCAACAATTAAAGCGGAACTCGTCGAAACATAATTTCACATAGTTCTTAAATTGAGAAACTCCTAGAAGACTAACGAATCAAAAGAGGCTCTTTTGACTCTGAATGCTTTTTTAGCTTCTTAAATTACATGTAAAATGCGTAGAGTTGTTTTGGATCATGTGGTTTCAACTTAATTTTAAGTAAAGGCTTAATCTTTTTGGTTTGCTGCTGAATTATTGGGGTTTCCTCGCTTTCCTATTCTTCCTCTGATTCTGATGCCCTTGCACGATATGAACTCCTTTAACTTTTTAAAGATGATCGTATCGACTCATTTAGCTTTAAAGATGCCTCAATAGCTTCGTATAGTTGTAACTGTTGTAATTTCTGCACTATTTCCCCTTTGGTTTGAAATATAGTTCTTAGAGCTAAACTGTTATGTGATTCTTCAAAAATATAGCAATTATCATATGTTTAGTTCCATGGCATACAATTCTGAGGATTATGCGACTGCATCCCGCATCTATTTCCAAATCGTGTGAATATAATCTGTCTGTTCAATTTTGCATCTGAATAGTTACTTGTAGTTGTACAAGTTGGTTAAGTAAATTTATTATTTCAACAGGTTTATAAACCAAGCGAATATAGTCGCATTCTTGTTATTTGTGGTCCAGGAAATAATGGTGGTGATGGCCTGGTAGCTGCTCGTCACCTACGCCACTTTGGATATGAACCGTATATCTGTTATCCAAAGAGAACAGCAAAACTTCTATATACTGGCTTGGTTACTCAGGTACGACTGAGCTCTATGCACTTGTACTATTTACTCATTTTGGGTGTCAAGTCATGTATATGTTTTATGTGATTTTGTAGTTGGAATCGCTGGCAATTCCATTCTTATCTGTTGATGAGCTGCCTAAGAACTTTTCAGATGATTTTGATCTCATTGTGGATGCAATATTTGGGTTCTCATTTCATGGTACGCCAAAATTTAGTAACTTTGTTCTTTAAAACTTCTTCATGGTAATGAAAATCTCATAACTTTGTTCTCATTAATTTCTTCTTTACTTCTCTCTCTTCTCATAATGCTTATCATTCTGGAGTTAATATTCACCTGAAATGGTTCCCAAATTTGAAAAGTATGTCTCGGGTCACTCTCAGCCAAGATCTTTGTACTTGCAAGTTTTGAAGGAAATCTCATGCATCTATGAATTCTGACTTCATCATGTGCATTACTTTTTAGTTTTCTTGATTGATTCTTCAACCTTGGTTCAGCACAAAAAATTGTTCACACAATGTACATACAAGCTACTTTATTCTTTATTAAAATCGACAATTTTTTCTCTCTTACAGGATGAACATTATTCTGGTTCAAAAGGACAGTTTGAAGATGAAAAAACAATGTTAATGTTGTATTTCATGGTTTGTTAGGTGGAATCTGGACAAAAGAATATTGACCATTATTAGTTATGGTTTTAAATGTCGGCTGACATGTCGGACATGTCGGCCGACTTGTCGGATCAGAGGCTAGAGCGATACGGGTATGACCATCTCAAGTCGGATATCGTTTTTGAGGTCCATGTCGGACATGTCGAGACATGTCGGTCGACATGTCGGATTAGAGGCTAGAGCGACACGGATATGGCCATTTCAAGTCGGATATCGTTTTGAGGTCCATGTCAGACATGTCGGGGGATATTGCAGACATATCGGCCGATCTTAGCCTTAAAAAAAAAAAATCAAAAAATGGCCGATTTTTTATTTTTTGTTTTTTTAAAGTTGATAAGTATTGGGGTTTGGGTTTAGTACACAAAAACCAAACCTGATTAATTCTTTTTTTAGCCTTTTATTCCCATAGTAACCCGATAGCATATAATACAGATTAGGGCAAAGAAAAAATATTGCTCTCTTTTTCGCCGCAATCTCCTCTCGTTCGTCTTCGTCTCTACAAATTGAAATTGAAAATACATAAAAGCGTGATGTAAACAATAAGTTTGAAACGTAGCTTGAAATCAATTCAAAGTTAACACTTTATGTCAATTTTATGCAAGACACTTTACTTTATGTTAATTTTATGCAAGGCACTTCGAAAGTTCTAGTTTGACAATATGTATTTTATTTATTTGTTGGCATAATATTCTAAATGTTTACCTTCAAGAAATGGAAAACGACTCGTGTCTTGATGATGAATACTCAACTCAAGTAGGATAAGTTATAACAAGACGAGTGTATTCCATCTTGGTGACCAAAATTGAGTAGAAATCCATCCGATATTTAGTATATGTCCCCCGACATATCCCCAATTTCCGCTATCCGACATGAATTTTGGCTGCCCGACATGAATCCGATATCCGACATTTAAAACCTTGGGAGATATGATTATAAATGCAATGTCTGAACTTGGAACCAAAGAATTCAGTAGCATAAAGGTTGAGGCAAGTTATCATTGTATGCAACCGTTGAGTTGAACCACTTGAAATTAAGTTCCAAGTAAACAAGGTTTTCTCAAGTTTGGTAAACTTTGTTTGTAATTTTTGTTGTAATTTAGACTTATAGTAAAAAGCATTCTAAACTTTTTATTTGGATATTTGGAAGCATCTGATGTACTTCTGCTAAAAACAAAAATTCTTTACAAGTCATAGCCTTTTCTTTGTGGTCTGATGGAGTGAAATTGGATTCCAATTGGTTTTCCTGTGCTGATGTAACCCACAAATCAAAATTCCAAATAGGTGTTCCTTTTTTTACTGTATTCCCCAAGCTCTCAAATGTTTTGCAACTAAATATGTGCTTGTTGATTTACTAAGGAGATCATATAGTCCTATGTGCATTTACACACTATTACTACATGTGCAAGTGCATCATGTGGCATTCACATGGACATGTTTAGTTGTGCATGGATGCACTATACATGTGCACATGTACTCACTGGCGCATGTACACTCTGCACCCTAAGCAAGTGCATGCACACATACACACATGCAGTGGCGGAGCCAGGAATTTTGGAGGGGGGTCCAAAAATATAAAAACATTTTGCACAATTGATTAGCATCTAAAGATCAATTTGTTCCATGACTGAAAATAGTTAAAATATATGGAAATTAAAAGTTTTAAACACATTTTTATAATCCATGTATATTATTGTTTTTAATGAAAATTTCTTCTCCATCCTCATATTCTTTTGGTGCGGGCTTTTGACGATTAGATTGAGATTTTTTATTTGATTTGTTTAGGAATTGGAAGGTTATGACTTTATTGAGAAGAACATTTATTCTTTAGTTTCTCAGTTCTATTTGCATTTAACTTGTAGCAAGATAGGATTAGTTGGAATTCTAATTATAATAGGATTAAAAGTTTATTTATATTTGGAATTGTAGTAGAGATATGATTTTAAAACCTACATAAAGGGTTGTAAGTTTTCTTTGTATTTAGAGGCTAGGAATTTATGAAAAAGTGATGAAAAATTTAGCCTGTGATTTGGACATGTAAATTGCGAAGGCGTGAAGCCATTTTACAGTTTAGATGTCTGTGTGTGAAACTAAAACATGTCAAATCTAAGTTACCTCTTATCAAATCTTTTATCTTTCTTCAGTTCAAAATTTTTATTCTTTCTATTAGCTTGGACTATTTTTTATTAGAGTCCAAATTGTTTTTTCCTAATTAATCTTAGCCTTTTCCCTTTTTCCGCCCCCCCCCCCCCCCCAAAAGAAAAAAAAAAAAGTAAACTAACAGCAACTAGCGGCCTAGCAACAAGAAACCACATCAATTTGCATCCATGTGCTAGATGACATATTGCTTACATCATTTTCCATTGTCATAGAAGAAACATAAAATTTTTTACTACTGTTCTTTATCACCATACACAAAGAAATTTTAATTTGTTTTCACCCGAGCATAGTGAACCACAATCCTATTCCTTTGTGTTTTAGTTTCCAACAGATAACCTATCATCAGGTTTTTCTATTCCATTCCGCATCAGGTTTTCCATTGTCATAGAAGAACATTCACGCTCTGTTGGACCCTAAATGGCTCTGCCCCTGCACACTGCACATGGACATGCATATGTATACACATGGACATGCATATGTATGCAACATGCACAATAAAACACATGCGTGAATGTTCCACTTGTGCTTCTTTGAATTACTTTTTTTCTTGGTGGGTTCTAAGACAGATGCTATACATGTGCAATGTGCACTTATGCACTCACTGGGGCATGTACACTCTGCACTATAAGTAAACACGTTGGACATGGACACGCATGTAGATGCAACACACAATAAAAAATGTGTGATTTTGTGAATGTACCACTTGTGTTCCTTTAAAGCATTGTTATCGAGGCGCACGTCCCGAGCACAAGGCGCTGCGGGCTAGGACAATTGCGCCCAGCACCAGAGGCGGGCGGGGCGCTGCACGCACACGAGGCGCGCACCTCGCGTGCGCCTCGTGGGCGCCTCGTGTGCGCTTGACACCTGCGTCATGTAATAGACTCTTTCTTCTGTTTTTTTAAAATAATTTACATATTACATATTTACATCATGTAATAGACTTTTTTGCTAGTTGCTAATCCACTCTCCATCTTTTCGTGTTTAACCTATAAAAAGGAAACATTAATTAGAACTTTAGTATACTTGTTTGCTAATTGTAACTTCCTTCTCTAATTAGCATGCTAACTAGAAAATTATGAATATATAAATATGTAATTGTTATCTCCATTCTTCATCTTTTTATATGCTAACTAGCAAATAGCAATTAAGAATGCTAACTAGAAAATTATGAACAGTCATATTTTTTAATCACTTAATTGTTACTTAAAAGTACATATATCATATTTTTAAATGAAAATACATATTTCTTATTTGTTACTTGCTTGTTTTGTTTCATAGACTTTTGCTTATGTTGGAGATTATTTTGTATTGTGATTTGTGGAAACTTATGAATTTCTCTATGTTATGCATGCTAATTAAGACTCTTTCGTGATTTAGTAGGTGAAATTATATTTCTTGGTTTTTCTCTATGTTATGCATGCTAATTAAGACTCTTTCGTGATTTAGTAGGTGAAATTATATTTCTTGGTTTTTTTATGTGACAATTTATAAACATGTTGCTTATATACTTCTTTGTCTTATGTTGGAAATTATTAGTTTGAGTTGTGCGCCTCAATTTAGTGAGGCGCGCGCATCGTTGTGCGCCTTGCGCATGGTGCACATAAGGGGCCTTTGCGCCCCGCATTGCGCCATGTGCCTTGATAACAATGCTTTAAAGTACCTTTTGTCTAATTGGTTATAAGATGCAGAATCTTGGTCTAGTCTTATTTCTAAAATCAAGTTATGGCTAAGCGTTTTATGCCTAAATGATATATAGACTGAAATATACTTATTTTTCCCCCATCAACTGCTGGATTGGTTGTAGTGGGAGATGACCTGTAATGCCATCCTGGCATCCTTTTTTTTTCATAGAATCTGACGCTGTAAGAAAGGGAGTCAATGTGATTCAGATCTCCTAATCTTCCTTTGTCTTTTAAGGGGGTTTATGTCCTTACCTTTATTCATAACTATCATTTTAGGCTTAAAAGGTTATTGTTCAAAGAATTAGGGTTTCCTTTGCTAAAATTCTTATTTGATCTATTTTCCTGGTTTCTATTTGATAGGGCATTTAATGACAGATCCATATATTGGGATGTGTCTGCAGGTTATGGCATCTATGCGTCAAAGGATAGTACTCAAAAAATACAGTTCTCATTTTATACGAACTTGATAAAAGATCACAGATACGAAAACCAGCTTCTATAAGAAGATGAAATCTTTAGGTTGTGTATCATGCCAACTTAGTCTAGTAGTTATATGGATTTCTAAGATCTACTGCTGGTGTTCAATTGGAATTCACTCATCCAGAATATATTTTCTAGCTGCTGTCAAGTCAATAATCATATATGTTGTCCTATGCTGATGCGCCCTTAGAAGGTGCAATCGAGTTTGGACGTTACTTGTTAGTCAAGCACAAAGAGGTGCAAAGGAACAGAACTTACTGGATCTTTCCAAATTATTAACAAATTTGTGGTGTCAGGATGCTGGTACCACTTTCAAACCCTTGGCGTGTAGAAAGTTGAAGCTTTCCTACAAGTTTATGTAAGCATCTGTTACATGTGGAAAGTTGAAGTGTTCCCATAGGTTTATATGAGCATCCGTTGTAATCATATATGCACAGCTCATTTGCATTTGGAAGGTCTCAAAATGCAAAGGGTAGGTAATTCCTGATTTCATCTTTTTATATGCATAGTGGCGAGTTCGTTAGTGAAACTATCTCCCTGTCTTGAATTCTAAATTACTTAGCTATTGTATCATATATGCTTGTTGATATTTTTGGCCCCAGACCATTAACAAGAAGTATGCAGAACTCATTACTTCTCACAATAGTTTACGACAAAGCGAAAATGGGCTGCTTGTATGACCGTCTGTTCTGGAGAGTTTCTTAATAAGTTTCTCTTTTGTATATGAGAGAACTTTTTGTACTCCGAATTTTCTATGTATTGGTTATCTCTATTAGAAATTACTTGATCTCACTTACTATTTAATACCAAATGTTGGCTAGAAGTTTGTAGAGGAGAGGAGATGGTTGGTCAACAAAGTTAATTCATTGAATGACTGCTTGCCTATGAGCTCCCAGTAATTAGTTCACTGAGTTTTAGAAGAACAACATTGGACGTTCTATATGTACTTGAAAAACCAATAAATCTATAGCTCGCATTGATAATATGCATGGTCATATATGCATGCACGCATATAAAGTTCATCCACGCATACAAGGAACATTTTTTCTTTTAGATGTGGCTAGAATTGTCAATTTGATATTTGTTTTTCTATGCCTAATTCTATACGACCCTTCTCTGTAGGTAGTCCAAGGCCACCTTTTGATGATCTTATCCAAAGGCTTGTTTCTTTGCATTGTATTGACAATGTACATAAAAGAAAGCCTGCAATTGTTTCTGTTGATATTCCATCAGGCTGGCATGTTGAAGGAGGAGATGTTGATGGTGATGGGATTAAACCTGACATGCTGGTTAGCACATAATGCAAAAAAATAATAATTAGAGATATTTTATACATATTATAGTATCCATGGAATTGAAGTCTACTGTTGCTTGAATCTGCATTCTAGTTAATTCTAACTTCTACACCTCTTTTCCTGTTGCTATTGCACTTCATAAAGGTATCGTTGACTGCTCCAAAGCTCTGTGCAAAGAATTTTCATGGCCCACACCACTTTCTAGGAGGTAGATTTGTCCCCCCTGCCATTAGAGATAAGTTTGGACTTAAGCTTCCTCCATATCCTGGCACTTCCATGTGCGTGAGAATTGGGAAACCCCTCTCAGTAGACATCTCATCTCTGAGAGAGAACTATGTTTCTCCTGAACTTCGTGAAGATCAAGTGAAGGCTGATCCTATAGATCAGGTATTCTAAGTTTTCTTAGCTATATTTTGATATCTATCTACTTGTGCTGATGCGTTCATGCTAGAATTGGATTATACAGAGTGATATACTCAATGCTACAGTTCTATTTAATTGAGTTTTCAGTTACAAAATTAGCTTAGTTTTATCTGTCATGCAGTTTCAGAAGTGGTTTGATGAAGCAGTTGCTGCCGGTTTGCGTGAGCCAAATGCTATGGCCTTGTCAACTTGTGGAAAAGATGGAAAACCGTATGTTTCTTGGTTCTGTCATCTTTAACTTTTATGGTGTTCTTTCAATCAACAAAACATTAGCTGGTTAGTTTCCTTGTGTTAAGCCTTGTAATTTACACATTCATACTGTTAACAATTGATGTCCTTCGTGCAGTACATCACGAATAGTTCTACTAAAAGGGGTGGACAAAGAAGGCTTTGTTTGGTTAGTGATGATCTAATAATGCCTATTTGACTGTTGAATTTTGGTTCTTATATTAGCAAAACTGATCGCGGTAGTGCTTCATACTTGGATTTATTGCCTCTGTATGCTAGGTAGAAAGTTATGGATCCGCTCGACCATTTACTTTTTCATGTTCTTTTAGGTATACCAATTATGGAAGCCGAAAGGGTCGAGATTTGTCTGAGAATCCTCATGCATCACTTCTTTTCCATTGGAATCATCTTAATCGCCAGGTTATTTTCCTCTTGTAATTAATTTGCGCTGCACATCTTGTTAGATATCCATAAATTTCTTTTCAATTTGATTTTTTTTTCTTTCACGTCTATATCCTAAAAGATTCATGTGCACTTCTAGATCTTCCAGCCACCACTTCTGCTTTATCCTTGTATGAATTTTGCAAATTCTATTGGCTCTGTTTGGTTTGAGAGAAAATGATGGAAAATAAAAGGAAATGGAAAGATAAAAGAAAAGGAAAGAAAAATAAAAGAAAATAAGAATCTCTTTGTTATTCGGTTAGGAAGAGAATTGAAAAGAAAATTGGAAAGAAAATAATAATAGTTTAATAAAACCGAGGTAAGAACTACAATTAACTTAACTTATGTTTAACTTATGTTATATACCAACTATATATTAAATTTTTTTATAAATTTATATTTCTATACGAAAATCAATACAAGTGTATACAAGTGTTTTTTGTCCTTTATAAGAAAATATCTATAATTAGTAAATGGCTATATTCATGTGCACACAAAATTTTAAAAGAAGGTTTTTATTTCCAATATCAGTCCTTTACGTCTTTCATATATTGAAATGAGTCTCTCGTATCATTGAAATTGCTATTAGGTCCTCGAATTCTTACATGATATTAAAATTTGTCCTTCAAATCATTTAAATTGCTAGTAGGCTGCTTTATTCTCATGTAATTTTGAAGTTAGTCCCTGAAATTAAGAATAAAAGTAACAATTGAGAGATTAGTTTGAAACAATCTATTAGAATTGGGACCTAATGGCAATTTCATCGATTTCATAGAACAATTCGGAATGAACTTAGATTTTGGAGGGCATAGTAGAAAGTTAATCATTGGAGCTCATCTCAAAATATGAAAGATTTAAGGGGTTAATAACTTAATATAATTTTTTATAATTTACAGCACACAGCAAGACAACCGTTTCCCCATGCAATGTGGGGACCACATAGGAACAAGTGAATATTTTTTCGCCTAAACCGAGTACACCCATTCAGTTATTCCACTTGGGTCTCACATAAAATCAGTTGGGTGACAAACACAGTGGTGACAATGTTTGCCCTGGAGTTCATCCTCTTCCTCTGTCCCCTTCCTCCCGATAAAGTTTTCCCCAACTTTCGCTAGGTCTTGGCTAGGAAAAAGAACGAGGAAAATTCAGTCCATTTTCTTTCCAAATTTCTCCCATCTTCTTTTTCGCTTTGCTTTTCTTTCGAACCAAACAGTTAAAAGTGATTTTCTTTCTGACTTTCTTTTCCTGTCTTCCAATTTTAGTCGAACAAAACACAATCTTATGGGTGTGTTGGTAGTTCATATAGTGAATTGAAGTACATTAAGAAACTAATGCAACCTGAAGGTTATGGTTTCAAGGTTAAAGATTTGAGGGTCGTCAAGAGGAATTGTTTTTTTTGGGAGTCGGTGACTGTTGTCCAGACAAGACAGCGAAGGAGAAGCGAAGGTTAAACCTGGAACGATACAAATCATAATAATATATATCCAATAAGAATCTTAATCTGACAATTTTGAACATATCTTTTACATGAACGCTAAGAACACATAAACGTGGAGATAAGAAGAGTAGAAATCGCTATTGAACAGCAGATCCAGAACCTGACTGGTAGACTGGTAGTTATCCAATACTTGAAACTACCTTACAAAATCTGTGTTAGATTTTTGAAAGTGGGTCTGATTACCAATTTCCTTGCGAGTGAGATCTGCGTTTGCAAGATTATGTTCTCTTCTGAATCGACTTATATAGAGATTCTTCTCACACAATATCGCATATCCTGTTTAAAACAGCATCCTAAACAATGCAACTAAACAATATTCTCTTTCAAGAACCCAAGTAGGAATTCCAACTTAACATCAAATATGTGGCAGGCATAATGGAAACGGCAGCTAATGAATTATTAAAGAAAATGTAGATAGTGAAGGGCATGTGATGATGATGATTTGTGACCCCATTAAACCTAGTGGTTCTTCTGGGAATGTCAAAGTTGCTTTGATGGTAATAATAGTCATGGTATCAGTGGTTCATGGTCGAAATCAATATAGTGAGATTATTGTGTCTCCTCATTTGTTCCACCCGAGGAGATTGCAAAGTTGCAGACGTCTTCTCAGAGAAACTTTTCCCCCTAGGGAAGATATTTTAGAAGACGAGGAATGACAATATGTTTTGTTTCTGAATAGGATTGGATTAAGTTGCTGAAACTTGGGAGTCAATGAACGATTTGCTGCTCCTTCAACAAGTGGTTTCTTTACATAATCCTTTATACTGGAAAGAGGACAATATGGAAATTCTAGAATAGCGGTTCAAGGATGTCATTTAGTTATGCTTGAAGTTCTTAATTAATTCATGCAGACTATAGTCTTGATTCTCTACAAGTTTGAAACTTTAAGCAATATGACAGTGCATATGCTGGATGGAAATTATGGAAGGGAAGAAACTCATTCATTTAAGACTTAGTGCGATAAGCAACTAGTGATGAAAAAAAATATTGCTACGGAATAGTTTTCTCTTTTGAGAAGGTTAAAATTAATGCAAAAACTGAGTTTTCTATCCTCATTTGGTGCACTTGCTGTTAGGAGGGCGTCAATATACGAAGATATCTCTGTAGGGAGGCATTCACTACGAATGTGGATTGAAGCTCAATTTTGATGGGTTCCATGATGCTGGTAGATGATTCCAGAGCTAAACCTTCTAATCCATGTTGGGCAGTATTCAAGTGTGTGCAAGCTCATTTGGAAGCGTCTAAATTCTAGCCACACAGATATGGGCCCTAGTGAATTTCACATCTGTCTCTTATGCGCTTGAGTAACTTGGTATGATTTGTATGTAAAAGGCTTGTTCATTTTTACCATTAATAGAACCATCTTGGAAGTATGTCGTGCTAAGGAAGTCTACATAGTTATTCAATGCCATATGTTTGCTGAAGCAAAACAAGGTGCAAATACTTGTGCTTATTGTAAGAGGACAAAGGAAGTGTCTGCTTGTAGTTAGAATGATTTTCCTCTAGCTCCGACTTGTGTTAGAGAATTTGTCTGATACTTTGTACCTTGAATGATTATGTATTGTTTGGATAGCGCATCAGGGGGAAAAAGAACGAACTAAATTCTAATCCATCTATTAACCAAGTTTTGCATCCTTCCAAAAGTGGAAAAAATTCTGATTAAATCAGCACTACTGATTAAAAACAAATTCTATTTAATAAGTATTTGAACCAAATTCTTGACTCCTTGAGTGCATCCTAAGTTAAGAAAAGAAAGTCAAGAATCTAGATGCCATCATCTTGTGACGTATGTTCCAAGTCCCTTCTTTTTTTCTATTCATATTCTTTGCACATTCTCTTTAGTTCATATATATTCCGAAGGATATTTTGTCATTGGTTTTCATCCTTTCTTGAGATCCTTCATACTCATGTGAACTGGTAATTTCCTTCAAGCATAACAAGTAGTGTTTCCCTTAAAGCATCTCAAATGTATTCCTAATCATAGGATTGAGTGATACCAAACTTTGGTAAGTTCTTAAAAAATCGGATTCGTGCATGTTTTGATGAGAAGGAAGGCATGTGAATCACTCTTTTAGCACTACAATATTCAGGTGAGAGTAGAAGGAACTGTTCAGAAGGTCTCTGATGAGGAATCTGAGAAATATTTCCATAGTCGCCCTCGTGGAAGTCAGCTTGGTGCAATCGTCAGTAAACAGGTTCTGTTCTGTTCAACCCCCTTCTAACATTTTAAATATGCCCATCAACTCTTTTGTCATGTTAGGCTAATAAAGTTTTAGTTTTATTAACCTGACATCAGAGTACTACTGTTGCTGGAAGGCATGTGCTTCACGAAGCCTACATGGAACTGGAAAGGAAATATTCTGATGGGTCAGTTTTCTTGATGTCTACTCTCTGAGAACATCCTTTTGTTCCTTTTAACAGAAAAGAAATATAAATCTATCAGATATATTTGCTTTAGTTAAGATTCGATTCATCAATTGAATAAATGCAGTTGTTTCCTGGTTGTTGCAAATTGCAATAGAAACCATTTAATTAATCCCAAATTTCTTGTTAAGGCAACTTTTGATGAGAAAGGGCCAAGATGAAACCTAGTTTGTGGCAATGAGGAGTAATCAAACAAATTCTGTTAGCGAGATGCATTTTGATGTTCTCCAAGGATAAATGCCTAAATTGCAGAATAACTAGTATACAAGTTTTAGATGACCAGCTGTTAGCCAGTTAGTGAGATGGTAGACCCTTCAAGTACAGAGCCTATGAAACCTACGGGGTAATTGTAGTTTGTTTAAAGTCAAATGGAAGCCAGTAGCTGTGTAACATTCCAAGTCCATAACTTTGAGAAAATGTTTGTTGATTGTGTGCCAATTTGTATTTCTTGTTTTCTCATGATAAAATTAGCATGCATCACTTTAATGGATATTCGATTAAGAACAAAGCTAGTGTACTAATTCCTATAATTAAATTGTACTTCCATAGAAGTTTGATCCCCAAGCCAGAGTACTGGGGTGGATATAGACTGAGGCCAAACCTTCTTGAATTTTGGCAAGGACAACAATCTCGTCTTCATGACAGGTTAGCTCATACCCCTCAAACTGATTCACAATACTTAATTTTCTGCAACCTGAACTGATTGTGATCTGTGTATATATTGTAATGAAATTTTCTTTATTCTCTTCCCTTTTCTCCTTCTTAACAGGCTACAGTACTCTTTGAGAGAGATCAACGGAAGCCGCGTGTGGCAAATAGAAAGGCTGGCCCCATGACTAGTGCCCCTCTTATCTTCCCTCAAGTAATTATATTTTTCTTCTCACTGCCTCATTCTCATTTGATATATGTTAAGCATGGGTTTGTTTCCACAAAAGGCAATGTTTATGTTCCACATTGTTATTTGTTTGTTAGATTTTCACAATCGAAGCTCTGAGGCTGGCTGCTTTCAGTTGAAGTGTTGTTGTAATAAAGGATGCCGAGAACATAGTCCCAATTTCTATCTGGGTCGAGTAGCTGAGGGAGGACGAATCACTCTTTGTGCGACTAGTGTGGAAATAACTCTTGACATTTTAAGTAATGTGACTCGTCCTTGCTTTTTCCAGTAGTTGTATTTGTTTGAACAGCATATGACACGCATACATGCTGTGAGATAGAGCAGATTGACCGGAAGACAATAATTATACTGGCCTCATCCTTGGAAAATATAGTCACTTGGTTTGGTGATGTTCCTTTTTATACCTCTACACGTTAAGATGCGCTAGTGTCATTAACTGGACACTGAACGCAGTTTTTGGAAGCTATTAAGCGTTCTAGCTGCCTCGCATCCTTGGACTAGTGCAAATCAGAGCGTTACTTGTACACAGATTCAGTGACTGTTTTTCTATACGCATGCAAATATATGCATAGCAACTATTTACCGAACAGTTTACATAACATGATCACTGAAGAAATTTTCTATACACATGCATGTATGTCAATGTGTAGCAAAGCATGCACGTGTGTATACATGCACCATACATACGCATACGCTCTTCTAATATCCCCCCTGGTGTGTGTGTCACGCACATGCACCCAAGGTCGATCTCGGTTTTTGTACTCAAGGAATGCTAGCCACAGTCCCGGTTTCGCGATTGTGGCTGCATTAAGGGACATGTGGTCTAAAGTAGACCAGCGTTAGAGGTATAGGCCTAGGAACCAAATCGCGACGGTGGGTAGCACTCCTCATTGTACTCTAGCCTCAATTCTTTGGATCATACTCCTTGTTCTTCCCGGTGTTTCTTGCATAGGAGGTCGTTCAGGATCATTTACTTTTGTGGCTGGCTAGGTTCGGCCTTCAAAGATCGTCAACTTACTTCATCATTTCTAGAAGTCCATCGTAAATCAATGTTTTGTGGTCCGATCAGATGCTACTCAACCCACACGATTAACTTGCCAAGCCATTATCTTTTTTTCTTTTCTAATCGCAAAAACCAATTCAGTCTTTATGGGTCAAATAAGCATAGGATAAATTACAGTAAACCCAATAGGCTTTTAGCATTTTGCAACAAACCCCCATAAACTTTTTTAATACACTACAACCTCCGTGAACTTTTGGGGAGTTACACATAACCCCCATGAACTATTTTCTTTCACTAAATTTCACATGTAAATTTCTCATTTACTCTCCAAATTAGCACCTCGTTGATTCGAACATCTCATATCGCAAACATAGGTCAAGGAAAAGATAAAAATAATTCCATAATCCCAAAAAATTATCTATTTGGGACTAAGAAGGAACTTTTTTTTTGTTCTTCTTCTTTTTAGTCTTGTGCTTATCAGTAACATGTTGGAGACGATTGGTGCCAATATGGGGATTGACGGATAGATTTTATAGTGAAATAAAACAATTTATGGGGTTACTTTCAACTCCCCAGAAACTCATGGTGGAGGTTTAGTGCAATTAAAAAAAAAGTTAGTGGGGGTTCGCTGCAACTTCCCAAAAGTTCACGGGTTTTGCTGTAATTAACCCTAACCGCGATAAACATAACCTGCGTCCGACCCATTCCAGCTGATACCGTGTCCGGACACGCGTTTCGCTGCCACCTCACGCTCTTTCTCGTCAAAGAAAACGAACCGAAACCCCCCCTCGAAGTAAGCAGCTAAATCCCAAAATCTGAGCGGACGACGAAGAATAAGAAGCCGAAAAGCCGACCCTGCTCGTCTCTAGAAACTTCTTCCCCTTTCACACGCTTCGGGTTCAAAATCATGGAACCCTCCGCCGCTGTCGCCGACCAACCCGTTAAAATTGCCCAGACCAAAACCGAGTCCAGCGGCGACCAGCACCCTCACTCTGCGGACTACGCTCCCTACCCTAAGCTCGACCCCGCTGACGTGGCTCCTCCCCCTCCGGCGACGGACACGGCGGCGAGATCCGCAACCGCTGGTGATTACCAGGCGACCACCATGCCGCCGGAGTCCAACCCCTACGTCACTCCCTCTCCCGCCGCCGCTTCATCCTCCTCGAAGAGTGAGCCCCTCTGCGATCTCTTTAATTTCAGATCTTTGATTGAATCGGCCTGTTAGGATATTTTTTGTGATTGGTTTTTAATTTAGGGGTTTACGTTTGATTGAGTGTTGAATCTGTGTTAGATACTGTTGGGGCAGTAAAAGATGCGCTCGGGAGGTGGGGGAAGAAGATGGGGGAAGCGGCGAAGAAGACCGAGGATTTGGCTGGCAACGTTTGGCAACACTGTGAGTATTATCTGCCCTTGAGACAGTTTATTCGTGATTTCTCTGGATTTTTTTTAATGGTTAGTTGTAGAACTTGATGATGGGCTTAGTTTGTTCTGTATTTCTAGGTCAAGATTAACTGAATTATTTTTACATGTAATCTGATTACTAGATTTCTTGATCAGTGTACTTTTGGCGCTTCGTGGATGCAATTTTGTGGTGTAAGCTTGTGGTATCGCACTTGGGGCAGTTGGTTATAGTTTCAATTTACCTGCGGACAGAAAAATATTCTATGCTTTTGGCTTATGAATGATACGAAGACAATTTCCTTTATGATAATAGACAGAATTGATGTGTGTAATGAAAAGACATCATCATGGTGTTCTTTATCTATGATCAAGTGATAGGTTAGTTGAGACATTGGTTTACCCTAAGAGATCGCCTTGTGCTTGGTCGCAGCTTACTCCATGTTCCCCCTTTTTTTTCTCCTTCATGTGGTTTGCTCCTTACACTCTAATGTGCTTCCCCTCCATTCTCTTTATCTGGATCAAAATGTCTTTCATGCACTAGGTGATTTCTCTTATAATTTCTCATTTTTGATTTGAGAACTTCAGGTCCCAGTGTTGCCTTTCTCTACTACTGCAGCTTAATCTATGTGATTACTTGCAATGAAGCTCATTGAACTCCCTCCCTCCTCCCTCCCTAATACACACATAAATTCTTAATCTGTTATAAATTTCTTTCCTTAATATAACCAGCCCCCCCCCCCCCTCCCTTTCTTCTTCTACCTCCCTCGACTCCCTCTGCTGCACGTAAACAAAACTGACAGATATGAAGGAAATGGATTGATTTATAGATAGAGCCTTAGGAATTCTCATTATATGTTTCCTGTGTTGTCATGTAGTGCAGAGAGACAAAGTAAAGTGGATGCTTGTTTCGTTACTGGAAGATTGACTGGCCAGGTATATATTGTCTGGGTGAGGCCTCCTTACCCCCAAATTTCACGCAGGGGGGGGGGGAGAAGCCCTGCATGTTGCTCTATACCCCTCGTGCTTGGTGGTTTCTGAATGTATCACCCAATATTGGGCCAAAACAACCCGAAATGAAGGGGGTGAAAAAAACTCTGGCGAAGATCGCCCTCTGTGGGTCCAGACGTGGGATTCTATGGCTTCGTTTCCTCAATTTTTATACGATCCTACTGATACGGATTCATATCTTCTGAGATTTCATTTTGTTTAAGCTATACAACTCATCGAAAATTTGAAAGAATGACTCATGATCCACTATAAGATGTGATCTGAAGGGGTTGAACTATTCAAAGTTCATATTCAGAAGCTAATGCATCATAAAATTTTCATGTGGTATTTGGTTAGGGACTTGAAATTTCAGAAGCTTGTTCTTACAATTCTTGTATCATAAAGTCCAGTTGACTTGTTTGAAGGTGCTTGGATCTTGTAGCCATCTCAGTTATTTTGAACTTATCATTTGATGTCTAGGTATTAAATCAGCACATAAACATTTGGAACAATAAGAAAATTGAGGAGTATAATGAATTTAATGGGAAATCACCTTTGTTTTTTGTATGAGGATCAGTATGGAATTACTATCTTTCTTTCTTATCATGTCATGCATCTAATAAACTTTTAGGTTTTTTCTTATGTGGACATGCATATTGTCTTCCACTTCCAGCAACTTATTTTGATAATATTCAGTTTCTGGTTTATCTTGTCTAATTTTATTATTCTCAATCTAGTGCAATATTTTTAAACAGTTTTCTTTCTTCAGTGAAAACAGGACCGAGTGTTGCTGATGCTGCCATGGGAAGGATTGCTCAGGGAACCAAGGTCATAGCTGAAGGTGGTTATGAGAAAATATTTAGAACAACCTTTGACACCCTTCCTGAAGAGCAGCTTAAAAAGTCATTTGCATGCTACTTATCAACATCAGCTGGTCCTGTGATGGGAATTTTATATCTCTCTACTGCAAAACTTGCATTTTGCAGTGACAATCCTCTTTCTTACAAAGTTGGGGATCAAACTGAGTGGAGCTACTATAAGGTACTGAGCATGCATTGTTTTCATCCATCCACTAATTGTTGGAAGCTATTGATATGAAAATCCATTTTTTTGACTACATTCAATTAACTTATAAACATATTATACCTGGATCAGTTCGGAATTGTGTAATTGATGCATCTTCTCTGTAGAATCTAATCTTTCTATTCTTGTGGTGAAAATTGCTTTTTAACTTTCAGTTAATGTATGAAGTGTTAGTTTTTGTGTTTTCCGTTGATGCACTGTCAACAACCGCTCTGAACCCAATTGTTGTGGGATTGGCGTCGTATTTGGAAGCGTCACCTGTGGAAGCATCTAGATCTCCCTACTAGATCTCCTCCTTTTTCCTATGACCACTGATCAATTGGCGACAGGAAAACACTAAGAAAACTTGTGTTTGAACAAAAGAGAGAAGGCAATCTATCACAAAATAGAACAAGAGCACAAAGAAACATGATTTATGTGGTTTGGCAATCGCCTGTGTCCATGTGAAGAGATTCAAATCTTTCTATTCTAGAGATTTTGAGATACGATCTACTCTTGTGCTCTTGAAGAACCTGCACAAACCCCTCTCAACCTCTTAAACCCTAGATTTCTCTCCTTAGTTTTTTTCTCTCTCTCTTTTACAATAAGCGACTTTCCGTGGCTTTCCAAACCCAACCCTTGAACTAGAAGACCTGATTTGTAGGTTTCAAATCGGAGATGAAACCAATCAGGAATTTTAACTCGAACAACATTTCGGAAAACAGAAAACAACCTGAAAGCGGTCTGAGGACCAGTCCGACTGGCCAGTGTACCGCCAGTGACACCTGACAAGTTGGACCGATGGGTTTACTGTATGTTCGTCGTTGTTCCACCTCCTGTTTTGTTTCTGACTCTTCCAATGTCCTATGGGCTAAAAACACAAGGCGATTTCCAACATCTTCTCTATGCCTGTCTAAGTTCTTCTATATTCACATTCTTGCACCATAATGTTGTTTTACTCATTGTTCTGAGCCTTCATTGGTATACACCGAAGTGAAGTATAATGTGTTTTATCTTGTCTGTAACAGTATCATGGTATATGAGATAGCTGCACATACTCAGATCTGGAGGATGTTATTCTTTCTGTTTGTTTTAATGTGTAAAGAATGATGTCTTTTATCATGAATTAAACAAAATAACGAGGTAGATCAGACATGCTGCACATCTAGTTGTCCAATATAATTTATATGGCATGTAAAAGTTGTAAGGTTGGAAAGTAATAGCATTCTCATTTTCTATTATCATCTCTAATTGCTAGGCATACAACTGTAATACCAATATTGTTGCTTTAATTTCTAAATTGGTTCATTGACTCATTTTTTGAGCTTGGACTCCTTGTTGAAATAATTATCTGGGTCTTTGGTCCAAATTTTTGTTCACTATCAAATTTCAGGAACTTGTATGTCCATCTCCACCAGTCAATGTCTTTAAATGAATTTGGTCTGATAATCCAGGACATGATAATTAATATAACTAATTTCGTCAATGGAGAAATTGTGAGTCTTGTCTCACATTTATAAATACCATTATAGAGGATATATATTCTTGTTGTACAGCTCTTGGCTCTAATAAATAATTTCTTTATAGCAGAATAAAGTAAATAATTTTTGTTGAACTTTATTGGATTTTTTGTGAGGAGGTGAGGTACTTCTAGTTGGTGCTTATGCTAAAAAAATGGTCTAATGACACTTCGTTTTCTGCACATTATAATATACTAATTGCTCCACAGAGCACTTGCAATTATGGGTAAAGTTGAGTGGTGATCATTATCTTCTTATATGGAACTTCTCTTTTTTGCATATATTTAATCGATCTCTTTGTTGTTCTTGCCTTTTTTCCTTTTACTTTTCTGCTGGGTTTATACTAGCACTATAATAATTGATTAATTGCTATCACTCCCATGATTTAATAAGAAGAGTCATTCTCTAATGAACGACAGGTGTTTATCAAATGTTTTATTTCGATTGTTAACATTCCTTCTGATACTTGTGTTATATATATCTGAAACCTTTTATTTACTTCATTTACTTTCTTAGAATACAGAGCAATTTGAAGGAACAGTATCATGCCGGCATATTCCGTATGTGTCCCACCTACTAAATTGTTTGGATCCCAATTCAATGGATGATCTACATCATATTTACATTATCATGAAACACATATGATCTACATCATATTTTCATATCATACAACACATATATACAGAAAAATTTGCTTTCAAGATTTATAATCCAACGGTTGGAAAATGAATGGGTGGTTAATATGGAGACTGAGAAAACACATACATATATAAAAGCTTTCAATATGCGTGAAGTTTGTCCATATATGTTATATAACATTATAAACATGATGATCTGCGGACATCTATGTTGATGTTCATTACGAGGTCTCAAAGTGGGCACAAATTTTAAGTGTAATCCTAATGCACTTTAAAGCTCAGCCAATATTTAAATAATTTGAATAGTGAGAAATTTATGAGGACAATGCCTTGCACCATGAAGTAATAAGGAGGTCTAATGCTCCTGCTCATTTCAGTAAGGAATTCTGGTTTGCTGGTGATGTTGTGTTTATAACTCTGTTGTTCTAAGGAGATTCTGGACACGGAAAGTAAAGCTCTGAGACTGGCTAATATCTGATTGTATTGTTATCAGTAACTTGTGGGACATCATAGAACAGCTTTTGTTAAGTCCATTTCTTAAAAGCTGCATCCTTTTTCCAAGTTACCTCTTTTATCTCCGAGAACTTTAGACCTCTGCATCACATGGAGGTCATGATTTCCTAATTGCCAGTTTTGAGTACTTCTGTTTGTACAATCAGCAACGTGTTTCCGTAAGGTATACTCTACTGTTATAAGTAGTAGTAAATAATGCCGTAATAGTAGTGCTCATAGCGTTAGCGGTCCCTTTCTGCTATGCTATTGCTCGATGGCGGTGACACATTGCGGAATATGTGCTTTCGGCCACAAAAGCAGCCAATAGTGTGCTATAGCGGTGAATAGTGGGCGATTGCGTGCAAAATTCGCTTTTTGACCTCTATTTAAAAGCGGTTTGAGGTTTATTTGTTTAAAATTAAACCCGCGCCGCAATCATTGCATCCCACTGCATTCCCCAATTTCCGGCGTATTCCCGTTGCCTCCCACAGCCTCCGACATCTTCTTCAGCACTTCCTCTCACCTTCTCTTTCCGTGAGCTCCTCCTTTTGCAGTCCTATCACCGTTGAACACATCTTCTCGAAGACGACGACTCTTCAACTCCTCCAATTGTCTTCGGTATTATGTGACAGTTGCATGTCTATTACATGTTTGGATCTCTTTAAATTATCAAATATGCAATTTAGATTTTCTAGATTTTTCTTTAATTTTTCGTAATTTTTTGCATATGTATACATATCTAAATTAGACCGCTATTTGACTTTGTGATTTTTACTGCTATTTTGTCGCAATAACCCCAAATAGCCTTAGCGATCTCTCACCACTGTGTGACGCTATCCGCTATCGTTAACCTTGGTATACTCTATAAAAACTTGCAGAAAGGAGGGATAAGAACATTCAGTACTGGAAGTTCCTTGACATATGTACTCTGTTTTTGTCTGTTTTTGTCTTTTAACAGTGTTTTGCTATTGTGGCTTCGGACTCTTACCATTGAATATTTACTCTTTTTTTAAGAAAAATATTTTCATGTAAAATATGTTGGAAAATCTAGATCTTTCTAACTCCGTTTTTTAATTAATAGGTGGTTATTCCTCTACATCAGCTCAGATCAGTCAATCCTTCAACCAGCAAAGCAAATCCAGCAGAGAAATATATCCAGATTGTGTCAGTTGACAACCATGAATTCTGGTTCATGGGTTTCGTGAACTATGACAGTGCTGTGAAGAACCTACAAGAAGCTCTCCGTGGTGCTCACGACTTGCAACCTTAGCATTGTGAGTTTCTGAATTTGCTGCAGTACCCATGTGAACATATTTGTGCATTATGTTGTGATGTGATGGACTTTTCTGCTTGTTATGAGTTCAACGGTTCTTCTGTTGGTTACTCATAGGATGATAAATTCTAAAATGAAATTTGTTATATTTGGGCGGAACAGATCAATGATGTAAACAATAAGATTGTGTCCTTTCTCTTTGTATATCTCCATCCATTATCATTTGTTTTCTTTGAGGTTCTGAGGGGTATACACCCTCATAATTCCTTCTGTGTCTGGTTGGTGTAATTTTAGGCTGGTGGTCGTAAAAGTAACGTTAAATTTAATACCTGAGTATAGCAGGTTTTATTCCAATCGAGTTCTAGTCTGCTTACTTATCTAATGGTGATTGTCCTGTACCTAGGCAAATTTTTGCATGCCTGCTTAACTCTTCGGTGGATTTTCTGGTTAAGAGACCTCGAGGCTCAACTCTACTAAACTTGATAGTTCAATCGCGGTGAGGATGCCAATGATAATAAACGGTGCTTTATATTGTGATCTCTCGTTTCAGTCCTCGACACATTATCATGATATGTATCGTCTCTCTGTTCAGATGAGTAGATTCCAGCTTAAATACGATTTCGTTTCTTGTAGAGAAACTGTGATTTCATTGAGGCAGGAAAGAAGTGCTTGCGTACATCAATTACTTCCAATTTCCTGTGAGCTTTCTTTCTTGTATTATCAGTAAGACATTTCAAACTTCAGGGACAAGACTGCATTGTTTTATTTAGCTTCTGTTCTGAAATCACGCAATGCATGAGGTTTAGACTATTAATACTCGTAACATACAGAAACCCTAACCAGCGAGCTAGTGCACGCGCTACAAGTAGGTGTATGCTACAAAACCCAAACGAGCTGGCTAGTAATCATGATACGCTACAAGAAGCCAGAAATAGGACAAACTAAAAAAAAAAAAAAAAAAACTGTCGAGCAATCAAATGCAGCCTAAAAATAAGACCCCAGGATGGAGGTATTAATATAACTTGTTAGTTTGTTAGTTAAAAGAAAGTTGTTTCATCCAGACATGAAACCAAAGATAAATCTGCATCAAGACAACAATTAGTGCTAAAATAGAAAACACATACCTATACTTGGACTATAGGCCCCAGCTATAACAACTTGGATTTGTAATACAAAACTATGCTGAAATTAGAAGCTGCTGAGCATTTAAATAAGAAACCTTTTCCCACCCTTTTCCCCCATCTTCACAAATCTTCCTCAGCTCAATCTCCCTCTTCTCTGAATATCCCGTTACACCTCCCATGGCCTCTAGCTCAAGTTCTGATGCCATGATGAGCTCATCATCTCCAAGTCCTATGCCGTCTGGTACTGTACTAGATGCTGAAACCAAGCTCTCATCTCCAAACCCTTCTCCCTCTCCAGTGGCCCCTGAG